CTCCACAAACAACAAAAGCCGAAATTTCCTCACCCAAAAAGAAAGAAATGACACCAAAAAGGGAAAAGAGATTCATTCTCTTGTACATCTCGGACACAAGCACTAGGGACATTGCTTTGATTAGCTTGGGGGGAGAATTTCATGGAAAACTCACATTCATACTCTATATTCTTGTATTTATTTTCAAAAAAAAAGCTTGTTAAGTTGAAAATCTGAAAAGGCAACTTAAGCAAAAATAAGGCAAAAATAAGAGTGAGTTGTGAGGATTAAAACAGAAAAAATGTGGGAAACTGGGATGAAAACCCGAAAGGGCACCTAGGCAAAACGAGAGAATGAGAGAAAGTATTTTCTTTTATTTCTGCAGGATCCTAAGGGTAACAATGAAAAAAAAATTGAGGTTGATAAAAAAATGTGGAGTTGAAGACCCCTCTTTACTCTTATATTTTTGGGGATATTTTTGTGTTGTTCTACAAACACACGTGGATGTTGGTGTTGATACTCTTGTCATTTTAAGGACTTCTTGGGCTGGATTTTGTTTACTCGAGACGAGTAAAGGTTCAAGTGTGGGGGTGTTTGATATGCACTAATTAGTAGTGCATAAGTGTATGTTTTTATGTTTGATTTGTGTGGTTTGTTTACCGTTTTATTTAATTTGTAAACATTTGTGTGATTTTAGTTGTAATTGTATTTTAATCTTCATTTGTAAGTTGTAAAGTAGAGTTAGGAATTAGGGTGTTGAAAAGGAGGACTTTGAAGTGAAGAAAAATAAGATTTGGCTGCCCAGAAGCAAAAACCCGACCGGGTACAATACTTCACCCGGTCGGGCATGACAAAGAATCAGAAATTGCTGAGAAAGTCACTAGACCCGGGCGGGTCACTTATTTGACCCGGTCGGGTCAGACTTGACCCGGGACACCAGAACATGCCGAAGATCGCCAGAATATAGAAAATATTTGATTTTGACCAAACCCGGTCGGGTCATCTAGGGGACCCGGTCGGGTCAGACACGACCCGGGACCAAACTACGTGCAGAAACATGAGAACATGGCGAAATATTTGATTTTGACGTTGACCCGGTCGGGTATGTCCATTTACCCGGTCGGGTATGTCCATTTACCCGGGCGGGTCAATGCCCCAGGGTGTTGAAAACACCTATAAATAGCCCCCGTTTTCCTTCACTTAAGAATCACTTCTTCCATACTCTTAAGCTCAGTTTAGAATAGTATTTCTTTTATATTTTTATAGCATGTTTAGTCTCCAAATGAGGAGCTAAACTTCCATATCTTGGTGTTGCTCTTGAAGCTTGTTGATTATTAAAGTTGTGAGTTATTTTCTTAACTTCTTTCCTTGAATATTAATTCTTTCTTTAAATACTATTTCTATATCAATGTTGGGGAGTGTTACTAAGATGAAAATTAGTTAACATCTTGACATTAGTTATAGTAATAGTTATTTCTTCCTCTATGTTAATATTGGGGAGTGTTACTAAGATGACAATTAGTTAACATCTTGATATTAATTATAGTACTAATTCTTCCCTTAATCTATCTCTATATTAATGTTGGGGAGTGTTGCTAAGATGACAATTAGTTAACATCTCGACATTAATTACTACTAGAGACGATCAACGAACCGATGATTAATCATTGATGGTTTCACAAGTAACTTCGGTTTATTAATGCACGGTCGTGGTTAATAAACTTAAGAGGGATTAATTTTATTGGTTAAACCAAAACCGTTGTGTTGAGGTTATCAATCTCAATTGATTTCATCAAAGAGTTAAGCGATTAAATGCTACTATCAAGTCGGTACATGGCGGTGTTCTATACTTGGCTAATAGTAAGGGTTATTAATGAACGGTCGTTGTTAATAACTATCTTCGATGAATTGGATATACTCCTCGATTGAGTATTCGAGAGGAGATAAGTTATAGATATAACAATGATCGACTAAAATATATCAACAAGTGGAAAGTAGCAATGTCAAGTCCTTTTTATCTTTGAATTAAATCTCATATAAGTCGTTCATCTTTGTGTTAAATTAAATTAAATCATTCAACTCAAAACCCCCATTTTATTTACTAGTTACATAAAAAGAGAATTGTTTCCTTTCCCTGTGGATACGAACTCTACTTCACCTATACTACGTATAAGTGTTAGTATTGAAATTTATTTTGAGTGCACACACGACAAAGTGCACGTCAGGACCCAGCTGTGTTTGTTGTTGTTGTGCGAAGAGGCGGAAGTGTAGAAGAGATGCAAGGCGAACCCACAAACGTCGGACCTGCAAACGGAGTAAAGCGAGAGGGACAAGCAATAGCAGTATGACCTGCAGAGAAACAAATTTGACACATAACAGGATGGGGAACTTACCCAAGAATACCCCCCATCTCATGGGAAGCCCGTGGAGCCAGAGTTAGTGGCACAAATAGGAAATGCATTAATATTTAAATGTGACAAAGCAGAATTACAAATAACAGTACCTGTGGGAGGCACACCCCCTACCAGTGGAGCATACCCAACTGGAACCTGTCGGCCACCCCCCGTGGCTGCATAAACTAGTGGTTGCCCCTGGTGCGGATACCAAATGACAGGCTGACCATAATGAACCGGTTGCTGACCGCGACCACACCCGCGGCCACCATGACGGCTGCCACCCCAACCCTATCCTCCTCGGCCACGCGGTGAATATGTTGTAGGACATTGCACCTGCTGGACGCCCACCTACTGACCAGTCTGTTGTTCGGGCTGCGGATCTTAGACACCAAATGCCTAAGGCAAAGAAGAGGCCTCCTGAGACCTAAGGTAGAAGACTCACTGCTCTTGCTCAAGAAGATGCACAAGTATGAAGTGTCTCAAAGGAGAAATTTTGGGGCAATAGTGAGTAGTGACACAGTGAATTTCAATTGTTCACATGGAGGAAGGGGAGAGTTAATGGTGGCAAGAGCATCAATCAAAATTTGAATCTCCCTTAAATAATGATCCATAGACTGATCAAGTTTCTTTTTAATTTGAGACAACAGACGATTTAATTCCATAGATCTAGCTAAGCTAGAAAACATAAATCTAGATTATAATCGTTCCCAAATTTCAAACGAATGTTTTAAATCCCGAAGATCAATAAGAACATCACGAGAAAGAGTTGCAAAAAGCCTAGACCGAATCGTTTGATCAATTCGCAACCAAGTAGAATATTCGAGATTAGGGACTTGACTTATTAGAATATCTATGGAATAAGTGGTGGGTACTTGAATAAAGCCATCAACCATGCCCAGAAGACCCCGTGAGACCAGAAAATACTTGAACTGGGTCTGCCATGTGGTGTAATCTTCCACAACGAGAAGTTTGGTGGTTACAATGTTGGTGACGTTTGTGGCTACGTGAAAAATTGTTTGAGCTAATTCGGCCAGAGGGGTCCCGGATGTGCTTGTTTCTGCCGTGCAAAGAGGCGGAAGCGTAGAAGAGATGCTAGGTGAACCCACAAATATCGAACCATAGAAGGATCCAACAGACAAGGGGGGTGGATCCAAGGTCACTGACTGCACCTGAGAAGGCACCAGGCAAGGGAAGACCGGTGGCAGGTTCTGGAAGAGAGAGTATGGCACGACGGGTCGGCTTGTTGAAGCAAAAGTGGAGGAGAAGGTTATGCTGGACTCCACAGGGCAACTGTCCGGATGCGATCCTAAGGAGAGAGGAGCGTCCGTCGTGACTGTAGCAGAAGAAGTGGACGTGATACCAACCATGGTGGAGGAGACCGCCAGAGAGGAAAAAGCGGTGGAGGCGGTAAAATTGGAGGACGACATCCGCGGCAGTAAGGTTTGGCAAAAAAATAGGGTTTGTAAGTTTGTTGTGTGCTCTTGATACCATGTGAGAGAATGAAACATGATGCTCTCTAAAGAGCTCTGACAAATAAATTTATTGGAAAAGAGTTTAATGTAAAATACATAAATATCCCTATTCTATTATTTATGTCTACTCACAACTTCTCACTCAAAATTTTAAACATATGCTCCTAGTTTTCCCATTGGCAACTATTTACTCCTAGTTTGTGAATTTTTCAAATTTTAATGTAAAAATCAATTAAAATAGTTACTTTTCCCGATTTAGGGTCAAATGCATAAATATTACGGAGTACTTTTCTCTTTAATGAATCAAATCAGTACCATAACTATGTATATATAAATATTTCAATTGCGAGTACTACTCAAATTTGCAGCACAAAATCTAACATGACGATCAAAACTCCATATGTAGAGTCCACCTTACAATTAGTACATGGACATCAGTAAGGTGAAATGAACTTAATGCATAGAATTTCGGCCGCCACCTAACTTTTTGGTCTGAAATTTGAATAACATTGTCACTTGAAGCATATATGTATAGTTATGGTATTGACTCTATTCATTTAAAAACTAAGGTACCAAAACGCAACCATATCAATATTTACGGCATCATTTATCCATTTCGAGCCCAATTTATAATGGAATTTTATCAATTCAGGATTCGAAAGATAGACGAATTACCAATTCGGGACCTGAAAGATGAAATGCATCGAAATAGGACCCGAATGATGAAAAATTGTCAGTTTAGGACCTGAATGATTGAAAATTATCAATCTAGGACCTAAGTTGCCATAAATTTTATTATTATTTTTATTTTAAAAATGTTAAATATTATTTAGTTTTATTGAACTAATAAACTTTTGTGAAGAAAAGTTTATCAAAAATTAGTAATGGAATTAATAAAAAATTAAATAAATCAAAACTTATGAAATGTTCGGTCCTAAATTGATAGTTTTCCATCAATCAGGTCCTATACTGATACGTTTCATCTTTCGGGTCCTGAATTGATAATTAATTTATCTTTCTTGTCCTGAATTGATAAAATTCCTTATATACTCCGTAATCCGTATGCATGATTATGGTTAATGAGAAAGAAGATTATTTAGATCGAGCACGCATTTTACTTCTTTCCCCTGAACATATAACCCACTCATAGAAATGAAATTTGGCAATAAATACATCTAAAATTAACTATAAAGACATTATTTGTTTTATTTGTCCATATACTCTTCATCCTATCTGATCTTTTGTTTTTGGGTACATTCTACGTATGTATTTAAATATTTCTATTGTGATTATTGTTCAATACATTATACATATACATGTACTCGTCCAACTCTAAAAGTTTATTGACATTTTTTGATAGTTCACGTACAAATCACAATGCCCTTCAGAAGCATTAATCCTATATTCATGATCTTTGTCTTCTTCCTAACTTCAGTAGTTTCTTCATACTCTCAGCTCCAATTACCATGCACGCCTCCGTACCATAACTCCCACCCATTCTGCAACACCTCCCTCCCCATCACCACCAGAGTTCGATCCTTCATCTCCCTCCTCACCGTCGACGAGAAAATCCCGCTTCTTTGCGACAACAGCTCCGCCGTGCCACGGCTCGGCATCCCGGCCTACCAGTGGTGGGGGGAGTCCCTCCACGGGATCGGCCTCAACGGGCCGGGAGCGAACCTCGACGGAGTCGTCAAGGGCGCCACGATATTCCCGAACGTCATCGTCACGGTCTCGTCCTTCAACCGCACGTTGTGGCGAGCGGTGGCGGCCGCCGTGGCTGTGCAGGCGAGGGCTCTGCATAATGTGGGTCAGGCTGGGTTGACTTTCTGGGCTCCGACCATAAACGTGTATAGGGACCCGAGGTGGGGAAGAGGGCAAGAGACGCCTGGAGAAGACCCTTATGTGGCTTCTGTGTATGGAATGGAGTATGTAAGGGGGTTACAGGGGAAGGATCTGATGCGTGGAAATGGTGAGGGAGATTTGAAGGAGGAAGATGAAAAGGATGGGAATGACAGGTTGATGTTGTCGGCGTGTTGTAAGCATTTAGCTGCTTATGACTTGGAGCATTGGCAAGATATTGATAGGTTTAACTTTAATGCAGTGGTACGTAATTTGTTTATCGAATAAATTTCAGTTTGGTCACACCACTCACACCCATGTTTTTGGTTGGACCATTTTCATTCCAATATCAACAGACAAAACCACACTTGGACAGATCAGATGATACTTCCATAGGTATAAAATACACAGAGACCAGACATTTGTCAAGCAGTTAAGACCAGACTAGGCCAAATCAGAATTTAACAGATCAGACTAGACTACACCTTCAAATTTTAGTTCGAGTAAAAATATCATAACTATCGTATGAATTCCACAATTGATCACATCTTTGACTTTGATTACCTTTAATAATACATGACTGTTGTTTATGTCCATATAATATCCTTTTGATGAAATTTTCGAGCATCGGAAATTTGGTCAAAAAACATTACTCAAGTACTAAACATGAATGTTTTCAAAAAAAAAGTACTAAACATGAACAAAATGAAAAAAGTGGACTAAATTTGATATTGACATAACACTCATAGGACGAGAAGTATAGTTAATTCTTTGTTTATTACACGGTATTAGATTATCTTATTAACTTTAGTGTAGTGACACTTGCAAGATTGATAGATTTTACATTACTCACATGTTGTGATCTATTTCGATGTTTCCGAACCCAGACAGAGAACTCCATTCCTTAACACCAGACATCTCTAGTGAATAAAAACAAATTAAAATTCTACACCACTTAATTTAAGTATTGGTCTAATTAATAACAATATGCACCCCCCAAATCTTTTAATCAAATAGCTAAGAATGCAAGATTATTATTAAAGGTGTAATCAGTGCTAATATTACAGCCAATCAACAACTGAACTAGAGATATGTCCTAATTGTGTTGGGTATGTATATGATAAGGTCACAAGACAAGATATGGAAGACACCTATCAGCCTCCTTTTAAAAGCTGTATAAGGGATGGTGAGGCAACCTGCATTATGTGTTCTTATAATGAAGTTAATGGGATACCCGCTTGTGCAAACAGATATCTCCTGGACAGGGCTCGATCAGATTGGGGATTCAAAGGGTAATTCTTTTTTTGAATGTAATGGATTCAAAGGGTAATTTAATGACCAATCAATTCCACTTTTGATCTAGGGAGTATGAACCAATTTGAGAGTTGATTCACATCTTTCACTTTTATCACTTTTGGTACATATCTTTCTCTCATATATAATCCTTTAGTTGATATGTCTGATGGTTAAAATTGTCGGAGAGACGTAGAAATTAGATAGTATGGCCTCAAATGGTTGAGAATTATTAGTCCAATAGCAATATGAATAGTAAATAAAGTGGAAGACGTGAATTAAATGTGAAACTCGTAAGACGAAAAGATGTGATGTGAGAACCGACCCGAATCGGGTGGGTCGACCCGGATTTAACCGGGCGACCCGGCACCTAACCTCTCCGGTTAACTAATAACCCAAAAAACACCGGGAAAAACTGGCACCCGCTCGAACTCAGCCCGGAACCGACCTGGATTCATATGATTATATTTGATTCATATGATTATTCATTTTCACTTATGTTTGTTTTAGTGGATTTTCACATTATTATATTTGTAGATATGTGGCCTCAGATTGTGATGCTATTAGCAATATATTTAATTATTTGCATTACACGAGAACTCCAGAAGAAGCTTCTGCAGTTGCACTTAAAGCAGGTCTTTTACTCTATCTTTATGTGCTACAGATAGTAACATTTTGTTAATGTTGTTCTTTGGGAGTATAAGTCCATGTCTTCCTTATAAAAAGGGTTTGAAAGTTTTTAATTGTATGTTTAGCACATAAAATTTGAAGAATTTTTCAAAAATATATAGTATGTAGTAAATAAGATCATTTTTGGAACACATAGTAGCTTCTTAGGGAAAGTTTGAAGCTTTAAACATTAATTCGTCACCACAACTTGTTATTCCAAACAAAATTGAAATAAATAATCAATTCTAATTTATCAATGAACTACCATATTTTCTCTTTTTGAAATACTTTCTCAATAAGAATTACTACATCTAGGGATGGATGAGACAGAAAGTTTGGATTTACTAATTAATTCTCATAGAAATGGATGATGGGCCGCCCAGTTTGTAAATCGAAATGGATTGACAGGGACGGATATCGGGTGCAGAACATTCCTGAGGGACCATATGAAAAGTGCATATGAGAAAGGGATAGTGGGGGAGGCTGATTTGGACCGAGCTTTGGTGAACCTGTACACGGTTCTATTCCGGCTCGGTCTTTTTGACGGAGCGGCCGGGAATTGGCGGTTTTCGAACTTAGGACCACAGGATGTGTGTAGTCCCGAGCACAGCGAATTGGCACTCGAAGCGGCAAGGCAGGGCACTGTCCTGCTGAAGAATGAGCACGGTTTCCTGCCTTGGGATCGCTCTCGTGTGCTATCTCTGGCTGTTATTGGGCCTGCGGCCAATACGACCTACCTTGGTGGTGACTATTCAGGTACGCTCCTCAAAGGCCCAAACCCCTGTCTTACATCTTATACGGGAAATTATCTGACTAAATGATTTTGAAAATTTCAAAATAGGACTCTCATGTTTTTTTCCTAGATTATGAGTAAATTAGTAATTACTGCACTACTATAAGCCTGGCCCACTACTATTTTATGTATTTATTTATTTGCATGTAAATGTATACATTTATATTTACTAACTTATCTGTACATGTTTATGGTTTATCATGTTTAAATTTAAGTTTTTAATTCTTAATAACTAGCACATAATAACTAGCACATCCAATATAATATCTATTTTTATACTTACAGATAATATGTTGTGCTTGAATTTTAAGTTTCAGTTATAATTTCTCGTGATTATTTTTGTGTAAGTATTTTTGTGTATGTGGTGAGAGACCTATTAACATTGAAAGTGTATTAACATTTTGTAAATGTTGTAATATTATTTCAAAAGTATTAAAACATTTTTATATAATTTTGAAAATTGAAAGTTATTTGCGCCGGACGGCTTGGTGGACTACTCAGCCCGCTCTTATCACGGGTATTGACATGTGGTTAGGCTTGTTTTTGCGGGTGGGGTGGGCAGAAACTTATAAAAGCCTTACCCGAGCACGACACGAGCCCGTTTTTGTGTAGGTATAAATTTGAGCTAAATAAAAAATCTAAATAATTTACACTAGAAAGATTGAAAAAGAATTAAGCCCCTCTCAGAAGTTCACAGTAAACATAACGTAGATCCTCCCTTCGGATGCAGGAAATCCATGCAACAAAAGAAACCTTTATGGGGGATTCCCGGAATACGTACAGAATGTATCTTATGCTCCTGGATGCTTAAATGTTGCTTGCAACAGCACTACTGGTTTCGGGAAAGCTGCATATGTTGCCAAGGCTGCTGATTATGTCATCCTCGTTCTCGGATTGGACTTGTCCCAAGAATCTGAATATCTTGACAGAAGCACTCTTTTATTGCCTGGACTCCAAATGAACTTGGTTAACATGATAGCTAATGTCACCAAAAACCCATTACTTTTGGTCCTTACTGGTGGCGGTCCTCTAGATGTCTCGTTCGCCAAGCAAAATCCAAGGATTGGTGGTATAATTTGGATTGGATACCCCGGAGAAGAAGGTAGAAGAGCATTGACTCAGGTCATTTTCGGAGAGTATAATCCAGGTAATATAGATTAGAAAGCTAAATAAGAAAGTGTATACATAAATTTATTTTGTACACTTTTAGTAGTGACTGATAAATCTCTTATTACTCGATGTGATTTGTTTCCAACAATATAAACAGGTGGAAAACTGTCTGTTACATGGTACCCAGAATCGTATACTAGCATACCAATGATTGACATGAACATGAGGGCTGATCCTTCTCGTGGTTACCCCGGAAGAACATATCGATTTTACACCGGAGAAAAAGTTTACGACTTTGGGTATGGACTAAGCTACACGAATTTTTCTCTTCAGCTCTTATCAGCTCCAAGCAGAATAAGCTTATTATCAGAGCCTGAGAAGAAGAAATGGAGATGGAGAAATCTCAACAGCGAGGATAACATTGTCCCGCACTATGTTCTTACAGATGAACTGTCAAATTGCGATTCAATGGGTTTCTCTGTTCCCATTTCTATAACGAATGATGGATATATGGACGGAAGTGAAGTTGTGATGCTTTTTTCTAGAGCACCAAGATCTTACAAAAGTGCTCCTTTGAAGCAATTGATTGGGTTTGATAAAGTTCATGTTTCGGTAGGTGAATCTACTACAACAAGCATCAATGTAAACCCATGTGAGCATCTTAGCATTGTGAACGAGGAAGGGAGCAGAATTTTACCACTAGGTGATCATACTCTTATTTTTGATGACAAAGAGTATGTTATTTCAATTGAAATGTGATGTACATGAAAAAACATTTGTTTTTGAATGATTTTGACAAACTTTTAATTTGGACATGCTGAGTTTATTATTTCATTCATAACTTTTTTATACACCTTGAAGTGTATAGTTTGTACACACTAATCCAAATCACATCACACAAAATAATTGTTTGTCAAATTAGGTCATAAATTAATCATTTAAAAAAAATATGTAAATTTTTCACACAAACAACTGATGCTTGTCATATATAACAACTTGCATCTTGTGTATCATATTTTGGAGGGGGACACAATGGGGGCAACCGGGCAGGCGGGCAACTTGGAAAATGCCCCCATTTTTATAAGTGGTATATTGATGACACTTAATTAAGTCCTTGTGTGCCTCAAAATAATACTACGTATTCAATACAACACTTATACATATTATAATGAAGTCAGGATCGTATCCACGGGGAAATTAATATCTTTCTTTTAAGTAATAGTAACAAGGGTTTTTAGATTGATGTTTGAACTTAGAAGTATATTTAAACACTAAGTTGAACCACTTATGTGGTTTAATTAATTAGAGATGGAGACTTGGTTTTGCTTATATCCACTTAATGAAACGTTCGTCAATTCTAGTTATATCTTTAACTATCTTCCTCTTGAATACTCAATCGTGGAGTATTTTCAATTCATCGAGAGTAATTATTAATAGTGAGACACGTTCATTAATAAAACTGACTATCAAGTCAATATAGAACACACGTCGTATATTGACCTGATAGTGGCAATAAAACTTAAGATGAAGTCGATTGAGATTGATAACCATAACACAAGCGGTTTATTGGTTTAATTAATATAATTAATATCGTTGTCGATCGATTATAAACCATGAGACGCATCACGCATGCATTAAGAATCCAAGTTTACTACCGTTGAAAGGACCGAACGATTAACAAATGTATTTGTCGATCGATTCTAGTAATAATTAATATATGAAACAAAACTAGTTGATCCTTTAAGTAATGCTCAAATATTAATATGAGATGCAAAATATGATTATATGCAATCAATATTCAAGAAAGATGATTAACGAAAATAATTCACAACTTACAAATCATAAACTTCAACGTAGCAAAACCAAAGTGGAAGGGTAGTTTAGCTCCTCATTTGGAGACTAAATATGATAGAAAATATAAAGAAAACGCTTAAGTAAACTGAGCTTAAGAGTATATGTGAATTGGTGAAAATATAAAGAAAACGATAGAAAATATACAACTGAAAATTACTAATATATTATTTTGACTAGTGCCTTTACATTTTCACCGTCTTTGCTAGTTCATAGGAAGCCTGGAATCGGACCGATGTATGGTTAAATCATTTAAATTTGTACTACTATTATTTATCTGAAATTTATTAATTATGTAATACTACCTCCGTCCCAAATTGATTTTCAAAATTAACTTTTTTTTGTCAAACAGATTCATTTTATTCACTTATCTAGAATGTCAATTTTTAATTATATTTAATTTGGAGCTTGCAACTTTGAAGAAATTTTAATGTAGTTTCTGAATATGTTTATTTTAATTATTACAAATTGAATTAATTATCAATAAAGAGAATTTAACTCTAACATTGGTTGATAAAAAAATATTGACTTTGCATGTCAATTTGGGATGGAATGAGTTTGAAAATTGATAAATTGTGTAGATTTTTGAAGGACGACTAATTTAAATTGTCTCTTAAACACTTGGAAAAGTGGCATTGTTTGGTATTAGTATGACATGGTACCGTCCCGTTTCAAAATGAAACCGTACCGAACGGGTTTAGGTCTAAGACCGAACCGAACCGTTTGAATAGTAACGGTACGGGTATGGGTTCGGCCAAATATTGGACCGGACCGCGCCCACCCCTAGATTTTAGTGAAAATAATTTTGTTCACCTCACATGAGAGTGATTTTTAGAAACTAAATTAAGTTTTATATTCCCAAAACTTAAATTTGACAAAAATTGAATCTAAAGTAAATGGTCAATTAGGACTCGATTTTAATGAAAAAGGCTTAAATAGATATCTCAAAAACTCGCATACATCCACTGCAAACACAATCAGTCCTGTCACGAAACCTATGATTAGACTTAGAGTCACTAACATAGAATAATCATTAAGGCCATTTGGAGTGGTGTAGTATTAGGAGTCCAAAATGTTAAAGATGGAACTTTTGGGCTCCTAATTTCATGTAGTGGTAGGCTAAATAAGGTATTAAAAATGGAAGAGGGGATGGAGGGTGTTAGAAATAGAGAGTGGGTTGGTAGGAGTGGAAAAAAGAAAAAGAAAAGAAATAGGGAAGGGAATGACCAAGAATGCATTGTATGAATGTGAGGATGATGTCATGCCTACATCATTCTAATCCCAAATTTTTTAACACTCTTATAACTTTTATATTTGTTCTCCAAATTTTTCAAAAGATATATCAAAATCTACGAATTTTTATTAGCTTTCATATGACACCAACATGTAATATATAAAATAAAAAAAAAAAAATCTTATGTTTTAACTATTGGAATTTTCTTGAGTCTGAAAAAACACAAGACACAAATTTTTAATTCATGGAGTCTCTACACATAACTGAATATACCATAATAAAACTTTACTTGGACTAAATTCATTTTTTGTTAACCGAAAAACGTAAAAAAAAATTAATGAAATTTATTTATTTTTACATCGAAATATGTATTTTTTATTTCATAATTATTTAGGGAAAAAAGTAAATTGAAAATATTACTTATGATGATTTAACTAATGTTTTACTAAATTGATATGTGAAAAAATTTGCTGAATGTATTTTATTGACGGTGCTGGGATACAAAGAATAGGAGTCTAAACACTGTTTTCATATGGACAAAGTTCATTTTTAACTTTTTAGCCTCCTAACCACTAGAAATGGTCTAAGTATGCCATTTCAAAATTCAACTACTCAAAGATTCAAACTATTTCATTTTTATCCGGAACTTGTCGAATGCATTCAAGAGTATCACTTAATTCTCAGACCATTGTTTATGATACATCCAAGAAAGACCCATCAACATCAATCATCTACATATTTCATTCTCGCCTTATTTTTATGTCATCACCACTTCATTGCCAGGGCACCGTCATTGATAGAGTTAGGGGGTCAACTTAAACCTGATCCACCCTAAATTTAAAGAATTGCTCAATTTTTAGTGTAAAAATCTCATGTAATTTTACCTAATGATATGTTTAGTCCTATATAAAGATTATACAAATAAAAATATTCATAAATAGAAGTGAATGTACGATAGTATATATTTTGGGGGAAATAATAATAATTTTATTTTGAAAATTGTTATATTTTGATTTTATTTAGGAGATTTTGTGTTTCAATCAACAATCAAGTACCACTGGCCCTAAGCTAATTTTAGAAAAACTAGCTAGGAAATGTGTTTAATTGATGACCATGATTCAGTTCAACTCTATGTTTAGTGATTGTGGGGAGGAACTATAGTAACATTCTCAGAGTATCTTTTTTGGCAGAACTTTCTCTTTTTCTCATAATATGAAGTTCTGTTTTATTAAATATCAACATCTTTAATTGGGATGAGTTTCGAACTTGTGACATCCTCCATAGGAGTGTCACAGTAATACCATCAAATCATAAAGTGAATGACAACTATAGTCACATTTTTGTCCATATTTTATTTTTTAGTTATATTTAAGGAAAACTCACATATTAGTCCTCACCATCGCAAAAGAAAGCTTATTTTTAGTGGTTTTTTGTTAGTACATAAAAAATACTACTCCGTACTACGTATTATAGTTATTGTGTGTAGAAATTAAATTTTCATGCAATACTCGGTATTTCTATATTTCAATACAGAGTATAATAACCCGTTTCGTAGCACCAAAATCGGCTATTTTGGCTGATTCTGCTGAAATTTATGAAGTTTTGGCTGAAGTTGCTGCATTGGCCGATTCTGTTGATTTAAGAAAAAATTATTTTTAAAATATATTTAATTAATAAAATAAAGAAAAAATTATACTCCGTATGTAAAAATAGTTAAAATAGTCATCTATAGTAACTTCAGCCAATACAGTCAGAAAACTAACTTCAATCATACTTTTTTGGCGCTAAAGCAGAAGTTATGCGTTTTATGAAAAAATTGGCTGATATATCACCTACACATTGCACGTAGGGATGGCAACGGGGCGGATCGGGGACGGTTTTACATATAACCGTACCCGCCCCGTTTGGTAATTCCCCCGCCCCATAACCGCCCCATTACCCAACGGGTAATTTGTACCCAAACCATAACCGCCCCAACGGGTAACGGGTATAACCGCGGGTAACCGCGAGTAATCACTTTATTAAATGAGTCATTGATATTTTAATAAAAAATAATATTTTAAAAGGCGAAAAATGACATCACCAAGACGACGCTAGACTCAGACGCCACTTTAAAGCTTCATATATCTATAAGGCGAAAAAGAAAACAACCTAAATTAATTTAAACCTAAAAATACTTGATTAGGAAAATAATTAATCACAAAAAATCATATAATAATCAAACATGGCTATTAAGTTCTATTGAGAACTTTCATTCTTACACTATAGTTAGTACATCTATTATCCATATATACACAATGAACATTAAAAATCTCATCTTTTATTAGTTGTAGGACAAATAATAGATAAGAATGTAATAAAATATAACTAAAAATAAACGGGGCGGGTTCGGGGCGGGTAATGGGGCGGGCATGCATAAAACCGTAACCGCCCCATTACCCGTAAAAACAAAACGGGTATTCCCCGCCCCGTACCCATTACCCGGTCATTGCGGTTTTCCCCATTTTGACCGGGGCGGTTCGGTGCGGGTATCCATCGGATCGGTCACAATTGCCATCTCTAATTGCACGTATGCGGCTGTACACTTGTGCTTGTACCGACATACGCTTTGCCAAGTTGCCAACTGCCCCCTTATTCATTCACCCTGCACTTTCTTATTTTAATGTGTACGGACTACGGAGCGGATTATTGATTTTTACGATTAGTTTTTTACAATAGTTTTCTAAAATACGTATTAACAAATAATTAGGAGGTTGTA